GTTAAATTGGTTGATTGTTAAAAATAATTTAATCTGTTTGTACATTACTGTTATTTAATTATTATTATTGATATTTCAATCTGTACATAACAGAATATCGTCATGAATATGGCAGACGGTGTTTTTATGGGTGTAAAAAAGTGGAATTATGATTTAATTTTAAGAAAAGAAAACGTTTTTAATTTTTTGGAATATTTTTGTTGTCGATTATAAACACTTACAAGTACCAAGTAAGTACTTTTGCAATCAGAGTATAACACCCTATTATAAAAGCCGTGACAAGTTTTCGAACGTGACTGATACGATCGCACCGCTATTTCGTAAGACGTCGTTCTTTGACTTTCTTAAGATACTGGTAAATTTATTGAAATAAAATTTGTGAAGTCGTTTTAGCCATTAATTGTTATCAACAGAAGGTTTTATAATTAGAAAACTATATTTTTTTTAAATCTACTTTCCGCATCACGGACGCAAACCTGTGGCGTATGGTTACCGTAATAATTGAAAATCGCTCCAAAATGTTACTAAATTTTATTCCTGACTGAGGTTGGCATAAAAAAATTAGATGTGAATAATTCGGTAATCAGCATTGATTATTGTGACGTAAGTGTGGTAAAAGTTTTACGGTAAATTTTACAATTCAGTTCAACTCTAAGCACAGAGTTGAGGACAAGCTCGACATTCAAAGAAACGGGTGATTCTCTAGAATATCTAATCAGGACTCTGGGTCTGGGCAATCCCATTCTGAAAAGGGCAGGTTAGTGTAACTGGCCGTAAGGGCAGGTAAGTGTAAATGATAAAACCAGCTACGGTTCACGTCACATGGATGCATAAGTTCAGTATCGGTATGAATATCGGAATCTTAGAACAAATTGTTGATACCTGGGAGAATTCACACAACGTTTTAGGTGTTTTCTGTGACGTACTTAAAGCTGTCAATTATGGTGTTCATGAAATATATAACGAATCTTCATATTATGAATTTAGAGATAACTAGTTAGATTTTGCTGTCTCTTAGTTCAGTGGCTTTGTAGGAGGTTCATATCGGTGACAATAAATCCCCTGAATCGATATATCAACACCTATCATGGGTGTTTCACAGTGCTCGATGCTTCTTTTTTAATTTATATAGACAAATTGCCTCCTTTGGTAAAGGATAATCACGAAATAAATTTGTTTACAGTGACAATTCCGTGAAGTATAACTTCACTCTTATTTAAAATTAAAAGAGGACGACCAGTTAATGACGGTGTGAATAGTTCTATTCTCAAAGTAGTACATTGGTTTAATATCTTATGTGTTATTCACGTTGAATTTTAAGCCTTTCATCACTCATAATCTTGCTCCATGACTATCGCTTCATTTGCAGATTGAATGGATTCTATGTAAGCACTATGGTAGGTATCATCTGCATAAAGAAAGCAGCTTTAAACTGGCGATCCCAACGAAATTCATAAATTTTATTCTATAGAGGCAACTATTCAAACAATGTGTTGCTCAATAAATATCTAGAACAACCTCAAATAAGATGAAAGGTTGGGATATAGTAAGTTTTTGTTATTGTTTCATTTGGTCGTATAACTTTTTACTGAGGTTATGTTTGGCCAAAATACTTGTAAAGATTCATTACACCGTTATATTATTTGCCACTAGCTGGTGCCCGCATCTTCGTTCGTGTTGTCTCATACCAAAGATTTTGTAAGCTTAAATTGTATGTTGTGGATTGAGTAGGTTATAACTTAATGAACCTGTAAAGGTAGAATTCTTTTTGTACCAAAATTCTACAGTCTGCTGACGGTGCCAACGGTATATATGATTAACAATAATATTTAAGATGAAATTTATAAACTTTATTGGTGTTTTTTTTTATTCGGGTGCCAAAATATAGAGCCCAGAGACGTTGCTAACCCTTAAAACAACAAGGCAAAGTTGGGCATTAGAAAAACAGGTAATTTTCAGTTCCACACCAGCAACTTTTGTTCTCTCAACAGCGCTGTTTTTATATCTTTGCGTACTTCAGAAATTGTTTCTGTCTCATTTTCTGGTAGATCTAAAGATTTTGGGCAATGTATGAGGATGGTCAGTTTTTCACTGGCTTAACTGGATTCTAGAGACCGAAGATTCTATCCGTTTTTATTCTTAGAAAATTTGATCATGTGTCCCTATATCGTTAAAATTCAAAATGGACGTCCATCCGGAAGCGAAGAAGTATGCGTGCTTTAACTACGTTATCCTCTCTGCTGAAATCTCCAAACACTCTTTCTTATCTTAACTGTACTTATGTACCTTTCACACCAAAACTCTTTGTTCCTCCTCTAATCGTCTACTCTGCCCATCTCATTTCTCCGAAATCGTTCACTCTTCGTTCTTCGTCAAATCTATTCCTTTGTGGGATGAATTTCCATTCTACTTGTGTCTACAAGAATTATCAATAAATAATAAATTAGCTTCTAAAAACAAGTTATTCTATAGCAAATGTTTCATTGTTTGGAACAAGCAAATTCATTTAATCATTAATTACTTTATGATTTATGTATTTTTATAGTAATTATGTATGTATGTATATACATACATACATAATTATATAAAATTAGGATAATGATATTGCCGTCTTATTATGTACAAAGTTAATTTTAATATATTTAAAACTAAATCCAAATTATCTTATCAGAGCTTTTTGACACATTGCATTGTCTGTTTCTAGAGTAGACGAAAAAACGGACAATAAACCTTAGTATTTACATGATCGTTGAAAGACAACGATACGTATCGCTAACCATAGATCTTTCCCTTTCCCGCGTTTTGTTGTACGCAACAAGGTCACGAACTTGCCCTGTACAACAATAGAGAGAACCCCGTGTCCACATCATCCTAAGGTTTACTGGTAGAAAATGGCCATGGCATTAAGTACGCCAATGTGTATTTGTGCAAAAAATGTCAATAAATAAAAAAAATATTTATTGTTAAGAAGTCATATTTATCCGATGTTATAGTATAACTAGTATCTTTGAGGACCACATTATATGTTCTGGATCTTTGACTTTTGTACTCTTAGCAGAATATATTGATCAGGCACGAAATTTTTTCTTAAGGTGTCGCTGGTCTGTTGTGGTTGTGCATCAAACGTTTAAGTTTCCAAAATTAATTATACCCCATATATTGCCCAGGTATTAACAAAATAAGTTTCATACAAATATACTCAGTAGTCCCGAAAATTAACGTGTACATACAGATAAACAGACAATATTTTTTAAATTCGTATTCTATTATTGTTTATTAACCACCCTCAATTTCTTTCTTTTTTTGTAAATATATTCAATGTACAGACATTATTTTTTTGCAGTTTTCTTATAAGTATAAAACGTGTAACAGAAATAACGCACATCCTTATACAACCCAATTAGAAAATGGATTTATAAAATGGATATATAAATAAAATTAAACATTGTTTATGACACAGTTATACTTATTGCTGGGTAACGGTGTGGACATTTTACAAATCAACACAATGACGTGAAAATTACAGCTTCAGTATTTTTTAAGTTAGGGCAATAATTATGATTCTTATTTGTTATGAAAATCAGCTAGTATAGTCTTGCTATCATATATCCCATAATCCTTAGGCACTTCGATGTAGTTATTAACTGTATGTTAGTATATAGGGATTCTTACTTAATAGGGATTCGATGGACAAAACAGTTTTTCTCTATATTTTTAATTACAGCTACAATGTTATGCAAGAATATATTTTTTTATAAATCGAAAACAATTTTCTTTTAAAATAAAATACATTTTCCATGACAAAAACAATCTAAGCCTATGATAAGTTTATCTGTAAAAACTTTAGTGAATTTTCATTTAATAATTGCAGTATTATGATTGTTTCGGAGTTCATAAAAAGAGTGTTTTTGGATGACTTTGCCTTCCCTACAAGCTCTTTATCTTTAATGTACTATTTAAAATATGGATAGACTTTTAAGATATTGTTTTTGAATCAGTTCGCTTTCCAGTATCAAATAAAAAATGTCTGACGGCAACTTTGAAATCATCTATATTTATGGGATTAATAAAATGATTGTGTTTTAATGGTTTTATCCTAACTGGTCAACCAGTCCTATACTTTGATGATGCGTCAGTATTACAAAATATCATTCCACCTCCATAAAAGGATCATGGCTAGAGGAAAAAATAACTTTTCTTCAAGTTATACGGCGGGGATTAGGTGCCATGACGTGATATTTGGTTTATTCTGATTGGCCGACATTATCAGGTACACACAGCAGCAAGTCAGGTTACTACAGTCTATCAAATTATCGCAATTATTTTAACTCTACCTTCACTACATTAAGGTTTAAAATCGAGTGAAGAAATGTGATGTGATGTGTGGTATCATAAGTGATTTTATATAGTTATTTCATATTTCTTTAAATTTTAAATCTTTTCATTATTCAATGCAAAGCATTTTTTAAAATATCAATGAATTAGAATAAAATTCTGAAATATGAAACAGACAAAATAATAGCATGTTATTTTGTCGACCCAAAAAGAAAAAACATACTTGTCCTTTCTAGGCCCCATAAAAATCTGGAGTAAAAAGAAATTATTCCTTTCTTTTAAAAAAAATTCAGCGCCACCTATTGTGTAAGCACTTTAGACAGCTAACTCAAAGCACTTGATGGTTAAGAAACGTCATTGTTATTAGTACAAAGTTTATCTGCTGGCGCTGAACCGATAGGCATTTGTTATTCTTCTGAGGAACGTGCAATGAGCTAACCCACACTAGCGTAGCCACCTGTAATTATGTAAGGGGGCGTGTCGATTTCTAAAAATCATTCAGTGTCCTCAGCCTCTTAAAGATGTTGAAATTGCTATGATGCTACTAGATATAATTTTGCTCACGGGAACATAATATAACTGTTTTTACAATTACAATTCTTCAAAGCATAAGCTCAATTCAAGCACTACTAAAAGTGAGGTATATTGCCTGAGAGTGAGTTTACCTTGAGTGGTTCAAAGTCTTCCACGCCTAGCCGCGACCGTTTCAACCGCAGGAACTCTGTCTCTTTCTGAGCATGTTGCTGTCTCTTCTCTTGTTTCTGGCTCTCTGTGAGGCTTTCATCTTTGAGCGACTCCTCCAGTTTCTCCAGCCTAGAACATAAAAGAATAAGGTGAGATCATCACAGAAACCAATTAAATGACTAATGGCATACTTCGTTAATTCTGAAATTATATAAACTAAAATATAATAAAGGGGAAAGTGTTTTTGTGTGTTTCTACTTTCTCTTATCAAAGCAACAGATTTTGCAATTTGTCGTAAAAAAAAGGTTGAAAAGTGCCAGTGCCTATTTTTACCGCTTAAGAACTCACATCCCTATTTATAAAATTTTCAAATTTAGAACATGAATTCAATCTTACAGTCGTCATTAAACCTTATTAGACATTTGTGCAACTGGGTTTTAATGCCTATATGTCTATAACCACGCAACCGTAGCTACAGCTAACAGCTAGTGGAAAAGTAAAATATTGCATGATTAATTTCGCTTGCTTACTTTGGCCGTAGGACTTACAAAGATCAGAAAATTATATATGCATTTTATATCGATAAAAAAAAATATTCTTCATTTTTCTAACCATATAGATCTGTATGGTTAGAAAAATGAAGAATAAAAATTTCGTTACGTTAACTTCCATAAATATCGCAAAAAGTCGAATCCGGCGATACTCAACATGACTACTAATCCATTTTAATTCGCATCGATTGCCCCGTCTATCACCGGTGAAAATGTCACAATTTCTTTTAAAAAAAGATACAATTAACTTTGTTCTAATCCTCTGGACTGCTTGTCCACGATCTATACGTTCCAAGGTTAGGCGTAATTTATAAATAGATTCGATTATAATATTCAACTTTGACCAAATGACCTAGTAACTAAATAGTTGGAGACGTCGTAAACTATAAATAATGTACAGACGTTCTTTAAAAAAAGTTTATTTGCATTTGAGTCGGTTACTTATGATTCATAACGCCAACTTTGAAGCACAAGTCACCCTACTCGAAAAAGGCTGCATATATGCAATACATATATATGCATGGTTGTTACAATCTTATCACTGCAATATATGCTTGATATGCTCTTATAATTTGAAAGAATGAGTAAAATATTTCAATACTTCTCGCAGTAATGAAACTAGAGCATTGTACAGTGTATGACATTTATTTCAGTATATAGTATAAGTAGACTGGTGACTATAAGTGACTAACTATATAGTAGACTGGATGAGATTGCTTAAAATCGTCAATTAATGCTGACATATACGTTCTCCTATATCTCCTACATTCCTTGATCAATCTTGACAAATCCAAATCCATTCTGCCAATCCATTTCTGCCTTTGTCAGGGAATGGATTAATATTAATATCAGCTGACGATAGCCATACTATTAATAATGAAACGTTTTAATAGTGAAAGTTGACGTCTTAAAGGAATTAGACAATATCATAAGTTCAATCATACAGATCATTTGTTTTCTACTCTTAAAATACAATGTCAGGATTTTTGCTTCGGGATGAGTGACTAATTCGTTTAGGTTAGATAAAGATAGTATTCAATATAATGGCTACAGGTTGTATAGGAAACACCAGTTTAGGATGACTAAAGATATTGTATGAGACCGCATAGCATACGGAACCCAGCATAATTATATTGCAATATAATGCAATTCGCGTGAAATTTTTGTTACACACTATATAAATGTTCGCTCCATACGATGTAGAAATATAGTATAGTATACACCAAAGTAACGCTCGCGGTTACGGATTGTGCACCGTGACAAATGTGCGTTGATGAGATCGAGGCGTTTTTGATATTAAGGTTTCACACAGAACCTTCTAAATCGGACTACAGAACAAGCCAACAAGAAATGAAACGGCGATATTAAACTATAAAATTTTCTGTGCACACAATACAATATGGGACAACCATTGTCCCCTATTCTTACAAAACACGGGTACTTACGTTTTCAAAATACTTGTTTGCCATACCTACTTGGAGATACCGCTATATTCAAATTCCAAATTCAATATTGCGTTAGGAAAATGTCATCTCTATTATTTGTATTGAAATAGTTCTACACCACGTTCTACACATATTTTGTTATATTTGTTGTTTCAGATTTCCATAATATTGGGAACAGAACAGTATATTGCCAATTAAAAGCTATATTATTAAATTCCAAGTGCTGATATTGTTTAACATGAGAGTCAGATCAATATCAATATTAGATTTGATAAATCTTTCACAATGCTACATAATTATTTATCTTATACGAAAATAGTTAAAAACATTCAGCCGTCGAGATGGGACTGTCAAGCACCTGAGATGGTATGAACATATTATTTTGCTTAAAGATAATATCAACTACAAAGTTTTTAGGTGGATGTAACAAGAAATTTAAATAAACATATCCGATGGTTAAAATGTCGATGCGCAAAATCTTAGCGCATTACGTCAAACACCTGGTTGCGGCTAGGTTTAGCCGGTTATAACATATTGAACCTTCCCAATTCCTTGACAGCTATTTGGCTTTTAGCCATAAATATTATGCTACTAACAAGAGCTTCATGTTTTTGGCAAAATAATTTATCAACGAGTTTTAAAAGACTGCAGCGTGATGAACATTTGTTCCGATTTCGTTATAGTAATCGCATAATGTAAGCATAATACTCGTACATCCACTTTAAGTATATTAAAAGACAGAATTTCGTATCTTTTTTTATATATGGAAGGTAGCCCCCGGAACTATGTCGACTATCAAATAGTTGACAGTAAAGAGTTTCAATGACATAAAACCTTCATTACCTTTTAAAGTAGGATTTATTCGATCGAACCTCTATGCTACAACAGTGCTCAGCAAAATATAATGTTCGAGGCTGATTTTATAACAGAATAGCCTAACCTTAACCTGTTAAAATCCGTACTTCATTGTACAATATGTAAGGATTACGTAAATAGACAGATGGAATTTTTTATGTCTGAATCGTACCACTGTGTCATATGAATCCAACCAAACAACACAGCCTCTGTAAAATTGTCTATGGTCTTTTTGCTGTAGAGAAATTGTCTTAGAGGTAATGTGACGGACTAATCCACTGGATGGACCCTCGGACGTCTAACCGCTAAACACTACACTATGGTATACGGCGCACTTGCCCCCACAAGAGTATGCTATCCTGAGTCTGAAAGATCCCAACATTATGAAATACCCATGTCTTTAGGAAATCCACAATTTTGTTGTATTCTCCGTCGGATCTCTCCGTTACCATTTTATCTTATACGAAATAATGTGCGAAACAATAATGTGCGTCTTTTCATCTCGAGAGCATTAAAAGATATCATATATAATATTGATTATGCTAATCTGCTAACTAAAAGTTACAACGAATAATAATGAAACCAATTCAGTCAAAAAGTCGTAAAAGACGTACCGAATACACTAAACGATTACAAATTAGTCTAAGATATTATTAATTATGGTTAGGAAATTTATTGGAGGAGACAGTGTTGTCATATTAATGAAAGAACAATCTTTCAGCAGCACTTTGATGATGTCATTACACACAATGTGTAATGACATCATCAAAGTGTTGCTCATATAATCGATAGAAAATCTTTCATAGAAATAAAAATGTGATCTCAACTTTATCGATCGGTACAAATCACTTAACCGTGTCAGCTAAAGTACTTAAGCAGCTTCCTATAACCTTCTGCTTTCATTAAAAATGTGACGAATCGATCATTTTCGGTTTGACTCTCACTTAAATCAGGGCTCTGTAATTAAAATACGACGTAGGATAGATATATCGTGAAAAGTTTAGTCATATCTGTCTTTTCTGTACCGATTCACAAATTTTACACAGTTTCAAGTAGAACAGAATGCATCTAATTGAATTTGCATTACTAGATATTGTAAGTTGCCTTATACGTATTAATTAATTTACCAATAATAACATATAGATTCAGTAATATAATCCCACTGTCTTATCAAATTCCAAAACTACTAAAATGCAGCCGTTATTTTTATTCTTTATAACAATATCTCATTAATTATATTACTTTGTAGTTGAATTTTTTTTTTAAATACAAGATCTGGGTAATCTACTTAAGTCAACAATTTGATTGATACTGCCTTGGTTGTTGATTCCCATTACAAACGCTCATTAAAAGTAGTAGTGTATGATCGACAGGATGCGCTACTGAGGTTTTATGAAACCAGAGTATTCCTTCTTATAATTCCCATATTCTGTCTTGAAAAGTAGTTAAAAGACTTTCATATTCTTTGTAATGTTCTGATAAATACAAGTCTCAGCAATAAGTGGATCCGATAATCCTTAGATAATAAACAATTGTACGAATTACGTTTTAAAAGATATATAAATATAATTGTGTCGCCAAAAGACCGGACGTCTGAAATGTTCGAACCAACCACACGTAGCGCCGTTACTGAAGTCATTCAACAAAGAAAAAAGTGTGCCTTACTAATATCAACATAAGGCACAGAGAACTTACCTCTGTTTCCTCTCATAGTGCTGGGTAATGAGATTTGTGTAGAAATTCTCTAGCGTGACCTTCGCTTTGGTGGCCTTGTCGAGCGTGTGCCCGCTGAACCGTGTATTATCCGTGCCCGTCATCTCCAGCACCCCTGTCGAATAAAAGATTAAATATTAAAACAAAACCTAGCTGAAATCAGCAACTAATTTAAAAAAGGAAAACGAGTGTCGTAACTGAAGGTCAAAGGGCAAGTTGCGTAGGTTTAATGTTTTTCTAACCTTTGCCCGGATCTGTTTTGCGGAGGTTGCGTAGCATTTTCATTTTCCTTTTTTTATTTTTCTTTTTTTTTTACTATCATCGAGGACGCATAGCCCCGCGCCCGCGGCGCACCTGCGACTGGCAGAATCGCGAGTGTTAGTGGCGCGTACTGCGGCCAACGCAATGCCACCGCAAGCTTGAAAAGCACTGTACCGCATTCATTTCGCTGACTATTCAACAACATATTCCTAATGAAGGGGAGTTAGTTCTTATATGTTCTATTTTTAAATTTGTAATCGAACCTAACGGGTAATTTATATTTCCTGTGATATATATTTTTTGAATTTTTAAATCGTGAAACAATTAAAAAAAGTATTGTTTTGTTCGACAATAACTGTTGATAAACATAGCAAATAAACAATATTTATCACACAACATTCATTATAATAATGCAGTTTAATATTATTTACATTTTTTTCTCCTCGATCAATATAGTATAGAATTGACAATGCCTCTGACAGTCTGACAAATTCAAAATAAACACAATGGATATGCAAACACACTAAACAGTACGTTATTTTACGGAACTTTTGAGTATGAATTATTTTGGTTATTGTTTGTAACAATGTGATGACATAACTGATACTTCTGTCATAACGAAAATTAATGTTCTTATTAGAGTATTAGTTTGAGGAAAAAGTCTTTTCGCATATAGTATATATAAACTTGTAATACAATCTTTCTGGCTATACCATTTCTATTTGGTTCTTTCGGTTTAAAGTTTAAGTTTAAATTTTCAAGAAGATAACTCCAAATACAAATTAGAAAAATGTGTGATCTGCATTTGTTTTTCTTACTCTCAAAATGAGTAAATCTAATAAAAAAATTCGAAAAATTTTAGAATTTTATTACTAAAAAGATAAAAATGCTAAGCAAGCCGCGAAAAAAACTTGTGACGATAATGGACCTAGTATAGTTTCTGTGAGAGAGGCACAAATTTAGATTACGTGTTACGCGTTTTTAGTCTGGAAATTTTGAGTCAAAGATTCGAAGAAAACTTTTTCTCCGACTTTTTACATATTATATCGTGACATAAATCTACAAGACACATTTAACTCTTATCTTTTCTGTTAAAATTATACGTAGTTCCTACTCAGCCACAACGATACATGGTCGCTTAGTTTATATAATACAAAATAATTGAATCATTAACTAACAAGCATCCCTCGGCATAATATGAAGAACACTTAAAATTAAATTAAAATAATACATGTGATCCACCTCCGCTTGAAACCGTCCAGAGTAAATAATCTTACGTATGTCTTATACTATAAGAAGCATAACGTTAGTAAATCAATATTTATTTATGTTACGTACAAGATCGATCTTTGGGTCATAAGATCTCTCCTAACATGTATAATCAGCTTATGACGTCATCTTGCTCAGCGCTGGCTTTGTAGTTGCTTTAAATGTACTCCATTCAACGGCACACGTAAGGTAAACGCAATTAAAGTATCGATTAGCATACCGCGTTGTATGTTAAGATTATAACATGAAAGGAGCGGTTGTCTTTTGTCATTTAATATTTTAAAAGAAATTGAACTGTCAACGGAGTTGTGTACTCGCACAGCAAATATTCTTCTTTCGATGGTATCTTTATCGAAACTAACCTTGTCCTGTTCACATATCAATAAATTAACAGACGACCTCCGTAGTGGAGTTGCCCCTTGCCGGTTTCGAGGTGCCGTCATCTCTGAGGTCCCTAATTCTATTGCCCCAGCCTCTTTATTACCCAGAGAATATGCGATACATATTATCTTGGCACCTATGTTGTATTATATTTATTTATATATAGAGATAAAAAAACATTTGGTTTTTCAAGACCACTAAGAGTTCCAAAAAAAATATATTAAGGAACTCTTAGTGGTTTTGGAAAATCAACGCATTATAGTAGGTCTGGATCACAACAAACAATAGGTATCATATTCACACGGTCTCAAATATTTTGTTGTCAGAAACTAGACTAAATATAATTTATTTCTGTCAAATTGTAGACAGCAATAGAAGTAAATTTATTTAAAAAATGAAGAAAAGAATAATAATAAAAATAGAAGGGGCCCATTTTATTTTTTCACTAATACTAGAGAAAGATACAGTAATATATACGTATACAGGAATGTAAAGATATTTATTAGACAAAAAATTGTTTTCTTTCATTTAAAGGTTTTTTCGACATCTTCAAAATAGACGCTCATAATTCAACTCACGATAAACCTCACTTGAAAACGTACCTCGTAGATATCTAAAGAAAATATCCAGTATGTGGTATGTAAATATGTGTGTGGTACGATTCAAAAGTCCTTTCAATTTGAATAAAGATTTTTTTCATTTCATTTCACTTCGTCCATTGGTGAAAACCATATAAGCACGCGTTTGGTACATTTAGATTTTATAGGGTGAATTCGTATGCAAGGATTTCCATTTAACTAATTATTCTTTACATTTATGTTTCGAATTTTAAAATAAAAAAGTTTTATCCCAGTCTAGAGTGTAGATAATTCAGTCAAAGTCTTATTTATAATTAATATTCCAGGAAATTCCTGACCTGGTGTCAGTGGTGATATGTTTTTAAAGTACCCACTGCTGAAGCAGACACCTACTCTACGAATAGAATTACATAGAGAGAACAGACCATAATATTACACCAAGTGGGCCAAGAGCAGATTGGTGGGTGTTTACGAATGCAGAAACAGCCGGAACCAACGGTTTCACTTTAGCCGTAGAGCTCCTTAATTAATAATACCAATGATCATAATTTAATCTGCTATAATTCCAAATTATTTGCAGTCTTTCCCATATAGTTCTGTTTATTGCTTTTTGCTAATCTTCAATTTTAATTTGTTACTACAAAGACTACAAAATCGGTAGTTTGTCTGCTATGCTAATACACATAAAAAATTAACGTTAAACTTTCCTTTGTTTTTGCTACTATAGTTTTATTTTTACTGGCACTGCTGTCGGGTGACGTGGCTGTAACTAAGTAATAAACTACAATAATAATTTCAGCTTACATTTAAAACGATTTAGTTGTAATCGGTTAAAAAAAAAGCTGCCAAGTGTAAGTCGTAATCGGACGCAGACGATGCCGTGCAAGCAATTTTGAAAGAAACTTATTATTAGAATTATACGGGGCTCAATCGATTTTTATTTATACTCACATATAAAGAGGAAATATTTTATTGATTGTTTGCATTATTAGATAAGCTCCAAAAACGTCATATTTAAAAAATCTACGGTAAACTACCTCATACGCGGACTACGTAACGGTATAAAAGCTAGTCTGAAATAACTGAATAATTACACAGGACTGCGATGAAAAAGTTTTTTTGAGAATTTTAATGATAACTTGTACATGTTGACATACATAATGCAAATATAAACTTTTTTTTATTGTAGCACGTCACATTTATAATAAATTTTTCATACACAGTCTACTTTAATAAATAACTTTTTAACGTCATTTGCAATATTTAACGACTTATTACTTGTCTTCAATTTTATTTTATTACAAAACCAATTATCATGGACCCAAATTACCTATACCAATTCCTTCTAACAACAAGTGTTTCGATATACCCATACTTCAGAATTCAGAACATAGTGATCTTTCTAGCAGTGGTGAGATTTTTAACCCTACAAATGATCCTCGACCATTCAGAGAGCAAGAACTTAATGATTTGGTACGGAATCTTGGATTACCCAAAGATGCTGCAGAATTACTCGGTTCAAGCTTAAAAGAGAACAATTTATTGGATGCGGAGACGACATTTTATTGGTATCAAAAAAGAGAACAAGATTTTTTACAGTATTTCAAGAACGAAGATGGAAGATGGAAACCTACAAAACGCAGTTTCCTTTCAAAGAAAACACGTTATTGACTGTTTTTTTTTTAATTCGTATTATATACTCTTTTTTATTTCATTCAAACTTAATAATATAATAAAAAAGCCTTTAATTATTAAAAAAAAATAACGTGTAGCTAAAACTATACCATGTAAATCTGAGAAGTGGGACGTGGTATATACCAAATAAATGCTGTTTTATATTTCCAACGTAATTATAACCAATACGAACAGTTTATAAAAAAAAACTTTTCAAAAAAAATAATTTCGCAGACCTGTGTTATTTATCTGGAAGATACAAAAAAAAAATGTTATTATCACTACTTTTGAAACATACCTATATGTCACACAAAAGTCAGTACAGTTTATAAAAGTAAATAATATTTTAATTTATAGTATACCTACATATTTCTTTATTGCATTCAGTATTAATTTATCGCTTTGATTTATAGTCAAAGGATATGACGTCATCGCGAAATTTTATACCACCTAGTGAAAGCTTTATTGCTTTCGCTTTATCACTGTAGCTTTGCTTTAATTTTGAGATGAGCTATAAGGGTCTTGGGCCTTATTTTGAACTCATATTTCAAATTTCGCGGCGCATCAAATGCTTTTTTTAATCGCTCGCAATCGACTTAATGTTGTCAACCACTTTGTTTACCAATAAAACATTTACTTATAACAAAAACAAAAAAAAAAACTATAATAAGAACATACACAACTCGTGGAATGATAATAATAAAATGAAATGATAATAAGAAAACAATCATAACAATAATCCTAATGAACTATCGAAATCGGAGAATACAGCACCTATTTATACAAATACGATGAAAATGAAGTTGCTGATGTGTTGTAAACAATAAGTAACGCTGCAGATTATGACTTAATAAAAACAATGTACTCTCATCGATGCGTATTTATATCATAGTGTCTATAATAATCTTACTAATGTTGTGTTGGCATTTTATATAATTACCATAATTCATCA